ATCAATATCTCCTACAGTTTTTATAAATCATAGAACAAAGCTCCTATCAAGATTACGTCAAATGTTAAACAATTGTTTCTGAAAGTATGGTGGAACCTGTAAACTGTTCATTAAGTTTAATTTCCAAAAAACATATGACGTAGACAAAAAAGCCTAATGAGCTGAAGATATGCAACTGATTTTATCAAATAAATGTTAACATCTTCAACAATATCACATCCTGTGCCATCTTTAAAACAGGATGTCAAACGGCATTGATAAATGCTGGCAAACACCTCCATGGTTAATTCAAATTTCCCAACAGTTGGAAATATTTAATTTAAATTGATTAAAGATCAGAATGCTGGTTTGCTCAGTTCTAGAGTTGAATCTCACTTCATCAAAATAGAAATACAAAAAAAAAAAAACTTCAACTAACAAGAAATCCATGGGTTTAAACATTCATCTGACTATAAAGCCCTATATATGAAAGAGGCAAAATAGGCCTAAAATAAATTGCTCTACTACTCTACAGCTTTCACAGAAGACACTGTTGGTTCATCTAGACATTTTCTGCGAACTTGAAATCATATTCTTTATACATGCACTACACAATTTTCATTACTCTGGATGTATTGCTTGTTGAAAAAGCAAGCTACAGGCCCAATATCAAGACCCCTGGCCTTTTGGTTATTGAGAAGAAGTTGCTTAAGCATTTCAACACATTTGACCCCTGTGTCCTTGAGAGCTGGTCAATATTAGCACCTTGGGCCTTTTAGTTATTGAGAAGAAGTCATTTAACATTTTAATACATCTGATACTTGTTACCTTCAAAGTGGGTCAATGTCATTCATATTTACAAAGTTGATAGACCTTCACCTTATCATGTTACAGACCTAATATCATTATCCTTGGCCTTTTGACTTTTGAGAAGCCATTTAAAGATTTTAACATATCTGATCCCTGTGAACTTTCAAAGTGGATCAAGGTCATTCTTATTGACTAGGGGTCGAATCAAGTTTTTGAATGTTTTAGATAAAATTTGGTTTAAATCCATTGAAGCATGAAGAAAGAGTAGCATTTTGAAGCAAAATCTTGTCTAATTTCCCCTTTTGGGGCCCCATCACCAAGTCTCTAGAGGTAAAATCAAGTTTATGAATTCAAGAAATAATTCCCCACTCTCAATGATACTTCATACCAAATTTGGTTGAAATCCTTTCAATCATTAAAATACAGTAGCGTTTTGAAACAAAATATTGTCTTATTTCCCTTTTGGCTCCCCATATTAAGATACTGTACTATAATACTGTACATCTACCATACCATAATACTGTGTGGAGTAATTTGATCTAAATACTGTGTGATGTAATCTTATTTTAAAAAATGTGTGGTGTAACCTTATCTAGATACTGTGTGTAATAATTTATCTAAATACTGTGTGTAGTAATTTATCTAAATACTGTGTGTAGTAATTTATCTAAATACTGTGTGTAGTAATTTAGCTAAATACTGTGTGTAGTAATTTGATCTAAATTCTGTGTGTAGTAATTTGATCTAAATACTGTGTGTAGTAATTTATCTAAATACTGTGTGATGTGTGTACTGTGTGTAATAATTTATCTAAATACTGTGTGTAGTAATTTATCTAAATACTGTGTGTAGTAATTTATCTAAATACTGTGTGTAGTAATTTATTAAATACTGTGTGTAGTAATTTGATCTAAATTCTGTGTGTAGTAATTTGATCTAAATACTGTGTGTAGTAATTTATCTAAATTCTGTGTGTAGTAATTTATCTAAATACTGTGTGTAGTAATTTGATCTAAATACTATGTGTAGAAATTTATCTAAATACTGTGTGTAGTAATTTATCTAAATACTGTGTGTAGTAATTTGATCTAAATACTGTGTGTAGACATTTAATTTCCTTACTGTGTATAGTAGTTATATCTAAATACTGTATTTATATTTATTTTTGAAATTTTTCGTTGATGATGTCAGTTCATGTATTACATTGGTAATATCCTTATGTTATGAAGGCATTGAAACTTTAGACACACACACCAATAAAAAATCAATAATTAAACAAATAAACTAAATAGAATCATACAAATGCTATTTTTGTGATGAGAACAATTAAACTACGATCTTGATTTACACCTATGAATGTTATTGACAATTAAAGAGATGATTTTATTGATTTCACATTCAAAATGAACTAATCAAGGTGAATAAGGCTGTTACGTTTCAAAGTAGCATTTATCAAATGTTTGAATGAGAAATTAAGATTAGCAAGCAAAATGATAAAGCACAGATTTGTGTAAGGTGTGAATAGCCTGTAAGGTTAACCAAGCAGTTAGTCAGACTTCAAAGACAAATACATAATGTTTAACTTTAGTCTGTTTTAAGTAGTATTAATAGATTTCTTGCATAAAATATTTTACATGTTTCTTCTTTATGCAGTGAATTTAAATTTTTTTTTTTTCAAAATTCTGTAAAATGTGAAATATTTGGTTAACTATCAACGTATAATGCCTGATGAAAAACTAGAATATAAAATACCAGTTTATAATCCACAAACCTCTGCCTCCTTTTACCACTGCTCCATGCTTGAACAATTCTTGTTTAACATAGCAAATTATAATGTAATGTATAAAAACATCACAAAGTTAAGAGCTAGAGATTGCACTAATGCATAATTATCAAATTTCTTCATTTAATTATTTGTTTGGTCTGATATAGAACATTTTCCACAAAATGGTTTTTTTTTTAAATAGAAGCTCCTTGACATATTCCATTCTTTTGTCCAATTGAACGGAGCAAGTTTTCTATGTTACTGAGTAAAATGAAATAAATGTTTTCATTTTAATAATATCAAGCAGTATGTGATTAACCTTCCCTTCTTTCACAAAAAGTTTTATGCTAGGAATGCTTGGGCCAATTACTGAAGACAAATCACTTTCCTGTTTATAGTAATGTTGACCTTAATAAACCTGAAAAGCTTTTGATAAGAAAACATGGCTTCAAAATTGAGTTTGACAGGATCAAGGAAAATCAATCCCATGGAAACCTTTATCATCAGAGAACAGATTCTAAGTCAGGTAACTAAAACATAGTGACCATTGGATAGTGTCTTTTCCAGGTGCCACAACAAAAAAGGAAAGGTCTTCACCAAAAAAATCATAAATACACTAGTTTTTATGAAAAATACATGAAATATCAAGAAAGTTGTTACAAGTGATAGCATCAAAAATGAAAAAAGGAACATAACTCTGTCATTTAAATCATCAATAAGGCACAACCCTGTATAGAGTGAGGACAGTCGTCTTTATACACATATAGCAAGTTTATTGAACTTTGGTGAAGAAACAAGGAAGTAATGAACCAGACAAAAATTTGCTGACGGCCATCGAGCCAGACACACAATGATATATGCTCTAACATAAAATATCGTTTCATAGACAAGCGCATTAAAATACTTTAATAAAATACATTTTTTATTATTACATGGAAACTAAGAGATTAAGTATCATTTACTCATGAAAGGATCATCCTTATGTAGATATCTTAATAGTGTTTGGACCTTACTGGCACATCCCTTTTCTATGATGTGGTAGAAAATGATATTCTAATTGAGTCTTGGGAGAAAAGAAGCAAATTTGTAGCAACAAAGCTTTCCCAACAGACATCTGGTACTCATTAATACAGCTAAGTAGATTTGAGCAATCCAAATAAATTGTCTTGTTCTTCCTGGATACAAAAAGCCCTTCTGTATTTAATCAGTAGAGATTTATACTGTACAGACTGACTAGATGGGATCATAAAAGAAATGATTCTTTTTACTATACTAACTTGACATTCAGACAAATAAAAGAACCGTCCATATTCTGCCATTTGCACTTTTGACATAAAACACACTTCATGGTCACTCTCTCTCTATAATGCCTGTCATTTCATGGCCACCTTAATTATTGAACATTTCAAAATATCCTCACTGGAGTTTGAAATAGTGACCCTTTAGTCTTTTAGCAGGATACTCTACAACTTGACTAAAGGGAAATTCCCACTAGTTAAGACCTAGTGAGGTGACCTGAACTCTCAACTTCTATATTGCTCCCTTCTTCACAAAAATCTTTGACTTTGAAGATAACATTCCAGATTTTTTAATCCCAAGAAAGCATCTCAATCTCTGAAAGTCTCTACTAGTGGAGGTAAATCTATATTCAAACCAGCAACCTTTCTGTCTCTGGGTGGAGACTGTACTGTTTGGCTGAAGGGGAATCCCCACTTACTAAGGCTAGTAAGGGCACATGTACTCTGAACCTCTACACAGTTACATTGTTGTTATATTAGATTACATCCAAGCAATAATGAACATGACCTGGTTAAGCTAAACACCAACAACAAACATCTATGCTTTAGGATCTTTAATGTCGTCAAGACAATCAGCGCCTCATTTTTGTGAAGAATTATCCAACTGCATTTTTCAACTAGTTTATATTGCTGTTGTTAAAAACTCTTATCATCATGCAGTCATATTTATGTAAAATTCTGGTCTCATTTCTCCTTAAAAATTCCAGGTTTTAAAGAATGATTTTACCTGTGTGGTCTTAGAATTGGGCAAGGTCACTATACCGTTCATCCAATGTCCTAAACAAATATCACATAGTCTACCACTAATTGAGGCTTTATGGTTCATTAGAAGAAGATTCTTTATCTTATTCCAGTGAATACATGTCATGGTAATTTTTCAATTTTTTCTCCAACAAGTTATGGAACAAATGTCATGATGCAAAACCTTACAGCTCTTTACATGGTCCCTGGAAATATATTACAGAAAACTGATACCATGACAATTATCTGAAAATCCTCAGTAAAACCTGACACAAGTGAATCAGGCAGGCTTGGAGAACATTAATGAGTCACTACCCAACATTTCTCTATATGGCCTTAGTTTTGAACCATAACAATTAAAACAGCCTCAGACATCTGCGAAAGGCCCTAATGACTACTTTACCTACCTTCATCAGAACCGACTCACTCAGCTTTTCCCTGTTGACAATTTTGATGGCCACTCTCTTGCCAGAGATACAGTGGACGCCAAGTTTAACCAGACCTGGAATATAAAAAAAAGTTGTTTTACAATACCAGTGGCATCAATCATTCCATCTATGCTTCACGAAGTTGGTTGACCACAGGTCAAGTAGATGATGTCAGCAGTAATCATGAGTGAGATATTACATTACCTTCTGATAAAGCAATTGCCATGCAACAGTTTGATGGTCTGATGATGATTCATGATATGCCTGTAATAAGTCTGTGCTTTACTGATGTCCAGTCTGGTCTGACTGGTCAGTAAAGCACCGATGGCTGGTCAGCTTAATCAAGCATTGTACCATATGACTGATACACATGTATTTCTAACTAAAAACTGACGTCTTTTATTTAAATCTTACTTAAGGTTTGTTAGGTGGACTCTTTGTGTATCTATAAATGTTAACATTTAATCGTCAAACCAGTTATGTTACTGAATAATTACCGTAAGTCTGCAAAAAAAAATCAATGGAAATATTGAAAAATATCCATGTTAGAGAAAATTTATATGTAGGTAATATAGGCTTTATTGGGTGGATGACATTTTTCATGGTGTGACAACATCAGTGACCTTGCCCTTTGTTAAGTGACCTTACACTTTGTTAGTGTCCTTTACAATGATAAAGCTTCCACAACTAAGAAGCAGGAGACTGCCAATATCTCATTCAGAAAAATAGTACCTCTGGGCATTGCATCAACTGTTTATTGATTTTCAATTATCTATTCCTGGGAATGTCTATTAAATACAACTGCTGGTTTCTATTCAATATATATATATATACCTTAAACTACCGTATTCTTCCAACAACAAGCCCTTGTCTGGTAAAAAGTATAGTTCTTTAATTTTTTTAAAACATTACTCAAATATACATTTCAATGTTTCTTTAAAAGCCCGTCCATATACATATTGTTATTTAGTAAAGAAAAAATTAATCATTTAAATAAACACTACATTGTGCTGTAATGTACCCATCCCTGACTGTAAGTAAGAAGTTATGTGTTGGTTCTGTGGGCATATTACAGGGTAAATATGGTATGTTTTGATATGATTGATGACTGTAACTAGCCTATAAAACAACTATGTTATGAATATATTATAATATACATCTTGTGATTTAGAACAAATATCTTTCAACACAATACAGCATGACTGTAGTCTTTGGAAATGATACTGTAAATACGACGACAGTGCAGTTTGACATAAATAACATAAAATATTTGTAGTATGGTCCTTTGATTTTGTCATCTAGGTAGGAATGCCTATAAAAACAAATCAGTTTCACTGTGGTGTCACAAATTACTTACAAACCAATATCACATCTCAAGGTCCAATTTCTGTAAGTTAAAACTATGTATAAAAATTGTTTCATTGATAATTTGTTTTTTCAAAATATTGAGAGTCTTATTTTTACTACTGTTTCTTCCTTTGTAAGTAAAAAAGATCAGAAATAAGCTTGATGGGTATATTTCTTGTGAACAGCCTGGGTCATTTTGAGTCGGGGCCCCTGTAGTAATTGGTGACTACCTGAATAAAAAAGATACACGAGGCCCATTGCATGCTATCCTGAGCAATTAGGGTTTTTAAAGTGTCTTGTACAAGGCCACGATCACTTAAACACAGATTGGTCTGTTGTACAAGGCCACGACCACTAAAACACAGATTGATCTGTTGTACAAGGCCACGATCACTAGAACACAGACTGGTCTGTTGTACAAGGACACAACCATGACAACACAGATGGGTCTGTTGTACAAGGACACAACCATGACAACATAGCTTGGTCTGTTGTACAAGGCCACGATCACTAGAACACAGATTGGTCTGTTGTACAAGGACACAACCATGACAACACAGATTTGTCTGCTGTACAAGGACAGAACCATGACAACATAGCTTGGTCTGTTGTACAAGGCCACGACCACTAAAACACAGATTGGTCTGTTGTACAAGGCCACGATCACTAGAACACAGATTGGTCTGTTGTACAAGGCTACGACCACTAGAACACAGAACCATGACAACACAGATTGGTCTGTTGTACAAGGATACAACCACAACAACACACAACCATGACAACACGGATTGGTTTGTTGTACAAGGACACAACCACAACAATACAGATTGATCTGTTGTACATGTACACAACCATGACAGCACAGCACAGTCAGTTGTACAAGGACACAACCACGACAACCCAGATTGGTCTGTTAATCTCAGCTTCTGTGAAACAAAAACCACAGATCAAGAATAAAAATTCAAATTATGTATGAACTATTTATGTCAACAGTAGTTACCAGAGTTGTAAACAATACATCTCTTTTGGTATGAAAATGTATTGTATTAGAAATTATCTTATATTCTACAAGTTGCCATAGTAACGAGCCATATGTTCAACTTGGTTAGTTTTATTGCTACAATTGCTCTGTCATATTATATGCAGAGCTGTCAAACAACTACAGTTTTAACACAATAAATTTGTTTGCCATGGTCACCTGGTAATTGTGTGGTCAACAGGCGACAGCTGGAACACTGCCTTGTAAACATTAAGTATGAATATCATAGTATTAATCAGTAACACACAACTCTCAAAGATTAGGTGACAAATATTGACTACTAGTCATGGGGAACTCTCCATAATGTAAAATATCCTGATTTGACACTTACATAGCAATTCCATTCATATAAACAGTACTAGTACTGTAAAGTATTTCATCATCATAATGAATCTGTGTCTTTTGAACACTTTTCTTCCCAACTCACGCTGAGATCGCCTAATATAAGAAGCAAACATTTAAGTGACATTTGTGTAAGACTGTTTTAGACTATCATTTATCCTTAATGACAGATTTTTGACACAAATATTGTAACACTTTGGTCATGATTTTTATTAAATCATATGTAAAATAGTTTAGTCTTTTTTAAAATTTATGCCCATATAGAAAATTATCCAAACATAATTTGGGAAAAAATTCAATAAAATCATTAGGCGGTGTGACAGAAAATAAATCAAAGTACACAGAATATTGATTTTACAATATACACAATAAGTTTAGGTATCCACTAGCTGACAGCTACGGACTATGAAATATTCATAAACATAATAGTTTGAAGCCATTAAAAACTGCAGATAACAAGTACATGTGTACTAACATACATTTCCTGGTACAAAATATATAATGAACAAGCTGGATTCAAATCAATTTGTTACAGATGGATTTCAGCTGTACACAAAAATCTAAGTAATATTTCATCTGACTTTGTTATCTGGAACTCTGGAATACTGAAGATTGTATTTTACTGGAACTGTTTATCCAGTCTGGCCTTTTCCATGATCCCTTTAACTTCAAATGACAAGGTTTGTTTGTATGTGTCCAAGCTCAGCAACATTAACCAAGACAAAATAAATAATAAACAGTGAAGGTCAATAAATTTTACACAGAGGTTATCATAATAGACAGAATAAAAACTTCACCAAAGACACACAGATTACTGGTATGATTATGACGTGTACAAAGTGTTATCAGAATCAGTTCAGAATTTTATTAAAAGTACTCATTACGGTTAACAAAATGGAGTGTAAATGAAAATCATCAAAGGGGCATAACTCTATAACATAAACCATTTCATTTTATTAAGTAAATAAGTGTTTAATTAATACACAGAACAAAATTATTTTCTACAATGAACATACACCTGCATACTGCATACACTTCGATGAAAGTATACACCTCACATCAACACAGGTAGGGCGGGGTTTAATTGTACATAGAAGGTTATCTAGGGATAAGGGGTTTGTCTCTCAGCAGACTGGCTCACTACTCCTTTTCTGCAACATTTAGCTCTTAGACCAATCCAAGTGCAAGTCGCAGGAAATTGAGAGGCTTTGTTGGAGCTTTAGAGAATCTGGCTGGATTTATGTTGTGTTTCAGGCGAATATGTTTTAGTTGGACATGGAAATATGGTCACCACTTTGTGTTAGAGGGAATTTCCCTTTAGCTTGATTGGTAGAGCCGCCCAGCAGTAAACCTGAGGTCATGAGTTTGATCCCTAGCAAAGGCACTCCTTTCCTGTTTAACAGCTAGTGATATAAACAAAGAATGCACTCAATATGTAACAGACAAAACAACTATCACTTAGTCTTTTCCGTACAAAAAACTACGAACCCAGATTTCCAAATATAGGTAGTACCGAAAGCAACTACAGAGAAAAAAGAACGGATCTATTAATCAACGATTCACAAGATTTTTCTCATTTCCTGAGAAAACATGGCTACTTCTGGGAAAATATTGACGACTTTTGCTAAAAGCAGTGGAATCTCCCTATAAATATATCTCACTATGTTACCCTTTTTGTGTTTGAGTGTGGAAGATACCAGTGATGGGACAAGATTGGTTATTTTACATCATCTGATATGATGATCACTTGTAATTTTTCGTAATCCATAACTGGTACCTCAGTATTTTCTTGCATTTTAATTAAAACAAAATTCATACTCTTCATAATAGAGACACCAAAGGTCAATAATAACCATTCTTATGCCAAGTGAGGTACTTGAGATAAAATATTACTGGAACAGAAAATGGTTTCTCTTTCTATAAATATTGACTACACAGTCAATTGATCATGTAATCATCAATCATCAATTTTAACCAATAATCAATTATGGATTTTAACTTATTTCCCATTACTAGAAGATACTACTTCCTGATGGAAGACAAAATGAGTTTTTTTTCTCTAAAGACAGATATTCTAATACATTTGACCTATATATCATAACTAATGGTATATTATCGCCTATATTACACCAATGAAAACATTCTCCCTACAACAGACATATATATCACTATATTTACAGTAACTTTGGTAAGGTCTTCCATCTCCCTCCCTCTCCAAACAATTGTGCTGTATCAATCGTCAAGCTCTCAGTCGCACAGATACAGGTCTCTGATCAATAAACTGTGTTAATTAGTCTCCAACGCAGTCAGATATATTACATCATGTGTAGTATCCTCCGATGAAAA